TTTTCGAACCTTCAGTTCTGAGCAATCAAAAGAACCAAGCGCACATAGTGCACCACCATAGACAGCAACAATTTGTCCTTATAGCATGATCCTGTCTATAAACTTCAGAAGAGAGCATACTTTTGATTTGGGCAGACAGTTTAGCAACTGTATTAACATTATCATCACGTGGATTAATAGCATACAGAGCTACATATTTGTTATAGCATACAGAGTTATAACTGACAATATAGTAGGTGTGCCATGGACTGATAAAATTACAGGATCCTTTCATTGGTTTCATTTCTCCACATTTGACAAAAGCATAGTTTACAGTAATGTCACTGCCGGACCAGGAGTACAACAGGCACTATTTTAGCATATGGGTTATTCAGGCCAATACAGAGGACACTACCAAATTCCAACAGATTTATCAAACGTGCTCCATGAATCCCCGATAATCTGGTAGAATGGAATCTGTAGGTAAAAATGGTAACCAGGAAGGAAGATTCGAGTGCACTAACATTCAGGTAGCAAGTTTGTACTTGTTTGTTTCACCTAGTTACTATAGTCAACATGAAATGGCAGCACCAACGGACAAAGGTTGGACGTCAGTGGAGGCTTGGTCGGAGGACATGACACCCACAAAATATAAGTTGTGCCATATGGTGGGCTGGTGAAGGCACGTTGTGGTGCTGTGGTGGCCCGGCGGAGGAGGAGGAGGCTGGCATATGTTGAAATCTGATTTGGACTTGGAAAATTTTGAGTTGAATGCATTTGCAGTTCAATAACTTCATTGAGGCTGCAAATTTTGATAGAACTACAGTATCTATAATTTCTGAATGTGAATGCATTTGAGGTAATTTCTTCTGTCAATTAACGGCTAGCATACTAACATGTGTGAAGTGTTACTTAGTCGATTGTGATATTTCCTAGGAAGTAGGTGGCTTGTAAATGTGTGGGTAACATTTGGTGGATGTTCCAATTGCTTGTAAAATACCGTGAGCGGTGTTCTAAATAACAGCAGTGCATGAGAAGCATTTCAGATATTCCACATATCCAGGTTGCTAATCCACACAAATTTTAAAGATAGTTCACAGCTTGCTAGCCGCTAATTTCCATCATCAACGTTTACCGTGATATGTTTCTTCTGTTTAATTTCCTTTCTTTCCCAGGCGGTTAATTTATGATTAAATTATGCGAATTAAATTACTAACTTCGTTTCTTTGCCATGGTGCAGAGGAAGTTGATTTTGAGTTTTGCCCACAAGTACCGCCTTGGTCTTTGGAAGCCCCCAGCAGAAGCCAGGAAAGTGCAATAAAGTTCGTTTGTTTTCAAAGTGCCCACTTGGAGAAATTTATGTGATGTTAATGTTATTGGGCCGAAGCATGCTTGGGACATCGAATAGTTGTGTTGTATGGATGCCGCAATTAGAATGTCATCTGATAACTGATAAACTCTCATGCACATCCAACCAATAACTGGCCCACTAGATGGTACTCTTTTGTAGGATTTCTCTTTGTTAGGTTTGGGCATCATCACTCTTATTGTTCTGATGATTATACCAGAATGTTACTGTATTATGCATATGTGCGATCATTATTTTATTTTCTTCTTTAAAGCAATAGCATTGGTGGGTCCAATTGTTCTCAACAAAACATGGAATAATCCAGCAGCAGTAGTGGCATAGCCCTACCATCAGCTCATCGCAAATGTGGCTTTGAGGATGCACTGCACGGCAAGCAGCACAGCAACAAATGGAACAAAACAGGAAAAACAACAGCAACGAAGACCAAAAAAAGCTTCCCAAAATAGCCACATGTCTCGAGAGCTGCGGGGTCCTACAAGACCAGTAATTTAGCATGCAGGTAGGCAAGGCAAAAAATCTGCGGACATGTCTCCGCTTACGGTAGGCAAGGCACCGATCATCTAAGTGTCTGCTCCTGTGTTTTTCGTATACCTAGAGATACGATCGGTAGCAGGTCCGCGCCTCAACTCCCCGTGGGGGATGACACCCATCGAGCTCGTCCCGCCGCCGCTGCCGAGGATGGTGAGTGTGGCGATGACTAGGGAGGACTGGGAGGCGAGTGAGTTCATCGTGGCGTAAGCCGCTGACGAGGAGTACATGGCGGACCTCTGCTGCCAGTCCCCTGAGCTTGTGGAGGCGGAGCGGTCGATCTTCTCAGAGTGTGCGGTCGACAGGGAGGTCATCGTCCTCTCCGATGACAAGGAGCACGGCGTCGATGACGGTGGCAAGAACGAGGAGCAGTTTGACGTTGAAGAGTGGCGACGCATCTTCCCCGACTCCCAGCTACGACGACACATGGCCGGGCCCATGGGCGGTGGGATGTCGCGGGCGGATTGGCTTGCCCTCTACAAGGGTGACGATGACGATGATGTTTAGTTTTGGTTTAAACTTTATGATTAGTTTTTAGTTCTATGTTCATGTTTAAGTTTAAATTGAATGATAGCAGACCCCTTAAAACCGCGCGGGCCGTAAAATTTCGACGACTAATACAGGTTTGGCCCCTTTTTTGGGCCAAGCCAGAGCTTGTATAGTCGCCTCGGCCCGTAAATCTTTTACAGTGGCCCAGAAACCGCCCCCTTGTGCAGTATAACTAAGGGTCTGCGGCTGATATACGGGGCCGAACCCTATCCCCGCGCCGCCGCAATCCCTCCTCTCCCCTCTCGATTTTCTCGCCGCCAACGACTCCAATCCGCCGCCCAACTCCACCATGTGGCGCGGGATGTGGTCCTCGGACCGCGGCGCCCGTGGTGGCGACGACCCCGAGTGGGCAGCTCCTCTGCCTATGCGTTGAGCTCCCGTACGGCGCCCACGCCGGTGAAAACAGAGTCGGAGCCTGAGCCGGAGCGGCGGGGCGGTGGCGTCGTCGAGCCGGAGGATTTCCTCCCCCGGCGGAGGCAGACGCCTTCAAGGCCGCCATCCTCGCGAGCAGTGCGTGGGAGGAGGAGGCGGAGCAGCGCCGTCGACGAGACGCCGACCTCGACAAAGTCCTCCTCGAGCAGGGGCTCTCGAAGGCGCAGGAGTTCGACGACAACTTGGCAGGATGGTACCGCGAAGCCAAGGCGCAGGACAACATCTACATCAACCTCGGCTCCAGCGATGAGGATTGAGCTCCTCCGCTGCCGCACCCAGATGGCTCCGCTGAGCCAAATTTTGGCATTAGGGTTAGGGTGGCTGTTACGCCTCCGATCTAGTTTGTAAAAAATGACCATGTACGACTTTTGTATGATGATCAATTAACTATGAATGCTAGTAGTCCTGCCGGAGTAGTTCGATTTCTCACGCCAAGTTTTGGTTTCAAAATTTACAGATTTATTTTAAAGTTTCTGTTTTGCTGCAGCTGTTTTCGATCCGTATCCGAGGCATTGCTGTTAACTCACTCTGTGCATTTAAAAATCAAACCGAAAAACCATACCGAAAATAAACCGAACCGAACCAATTTTATGGTTTTTATGGTTTCTGGTTTCGATATGGTATGAACTTTTCATACCGATCTAAACTTGGTTTTTATGGTATATACCGGAAAATCAAACGGTTAACCGAATAAACCGAAGTAAAAAATAAATTTATATTTCTTGAGATGAACAATCATACAAGTTGTTATTTTTCTTGGACATGAGTCAAATCACTACTAAGCACGCAATTTTTTCTTGTAACATAGTCATTTTTCTATTTTTAAAATGCTAAGCACGTCCATAGCCATCAACAGATGAATCAATGCATGCATATATACTTATATATATATAGTCATATACTATTTGTGTAGAATAGTATGTGTTTTGAGTCATAAATTTGCTAATTATTATTACGTCATTTCCAAATTCACGTCGACTTTGGTTTTTATGATATATACCGAACCATACCGAAATAATTTGGTATATACCGAAACCGAACCGTATTTTAATTTCATACCATATTTATCGACGTATTAATACCGTACAAACTGAAAAATCGTATAAATCAAACTATGTAAACCGAATAAACCGAACGCACAGGATGACTGTTAACTATAAACACACCTTTTAGGTCGGCGACATAAGGTGTCCCCTACAGATACTTAGATTTGGCAAAAACAGAGGGAATCACGTAACAAAATTTTTGCAACGAGCCAACGAGCGGGGAGTTCCCAAGATTCCGTGCAAATCCTCTCCTCATTTCTCCGAGACCCCTCCCGCACCTTTTAGGACGAGCAGCCGACTATCCTCCACAGCCAATCCGACGCTAGGGTTCTGCCGCCACGGCCCACCGGCGCCGCGGCCGCCAGAGATGGACGCCGCGGAGATCGCGGAGAAGGTCCGCGCCCTCGAGGCCGCGCTCGCCGCCAAGGCCTCCCGCATCTCTGACCTGGAGGCTAGGGTCTCCCTCCTCGAAGCCGAGAACACGCGCTTCAGGAAGGCCGCGCCCAATGTACAGGCAATGGATCATTCAGGCGACCAGGGCCCAACCTTCGGCCGATTGGACGAGGGTTTCGGCGGAAACAAGCAAAACTCAGCGGGAGGCCATCCGGTAAATGGTTCTACAGAGGTCAGTGACCGCGGGCCAGAGGGGATGGCTGTTGGCGTCGCCATTAGGAGTAGCGCGGAGGAGAGCCTTCTTGCTGTCCCGGCTCCTTGGGAGCGCACAGTGCCGCCGGTGATTGGCGAGAGCGGCGGCGAAGACGAGATCGAGGATGCTGATGTGGGTCTTGAAGACGATGATGTTCCGATTATGCCACGAGGCAACAAGCGTAAAGCGATGATTGCCAGCGATAGCGACGACGAGGACTGGAATGACAAGGATGGTAAAGTGCAGGAGGGGTTGGGTGTTACACCCGGTGGAAAGCGTTTGTTAAGTGGACTCAGTGATGATGAAGATGATGCTGAGGATGTTTGTGTGGTTAGGCCAGAGCATGTGCCATGTGCAGCTGAGACAGGGATTGAAGATGAGGAGGACGAGGACGGGGATGATAGAATCGTCATTCGTGAAGTGGTTCAGACGACGAAGGACGAGAGGGGCAGTAGAGATGATGGTGAATTGGGTGAAGAGTATGTGGAGAGTGAGGATGATTCAGCAGAAGCCAGTAGTATGGATGGATTTATAGATGATGAGGATTGTTCAGAAAATTATAATGAAGAGCCTGTTGAGCCAGAAGAGTCTGACGGTGACATGAACTATAAAGATGTTATGGATGCGATACGTCGCAAAAGGAATGCTAATGGTAAGGGGTGGGACTACGAGGCAGAGATGCTCTCAGCATTTGCTGAACAGGATGAACTTTGCTTGAAAGCCGTATGCGCTCTCTACCGAAAGCAAACTGAGGAAGAACAGTCAATAAAAGCCAGCATGGTGCATAACGGACAAGGATTTAGCCAGATGGATGCTGTTAGGTATGCCTTGGTGCAGTTAATTTGCGTGTATGCAGCGCTATTATAAACTGTTACTAACAGCTCTATCTCCATTTTACAATTTTTCATGCTTCATTTGCGATTTAGCTTTACCTCAACATAATTTGCGCCGCTAATTGCCTGCAAAATGTAGACTTCAGAAGGAGATTTGCCTTATTTGTAATGATAACTTATTAACTTGCATCTACATCTTATCAATTCCAAAAGTAGAGTTGTAGGTAAGAAGAAATTCCCTGAGTGGATTAACAAACATCCCTCATGCCGGCTGATGTGTTGATCATGCCTTACACTGATTTTGATGTTCAGTTGTATTTGGAAAGTGCCTTGGTTTTCATGTGCATTGTAGGGCCTTGTCAGACTACATTGGTGTCAAAATTGAGCTACCTTGATTACTGTTAAGGATCCTCGTAATCAGGTGTACAGGATGTCCTAACTAGTGCTCATTGGTGGTGTATTTATTCTGGTTCTCAAATTTAATTTTTGGTGTATTTGGTGTAGTGGATTAACAAATACCTAACATGATTTCCTTTGTAACGATTGAATAATAATAATACACATCAAGTATATGTAGTATTTACTTCTGTCTTCATTTTTCAACGTATCGCTCCAATCATAAGAGAAGATCAAGTGCTAGAATTCAATAAGAGTTTCTGTTTGTCTCATGATGCAAATTGTTTTCTTTGTTTAGGGGATCTCACATAGCAGAGTTTCTTCTGGATGGTGATGCTCTTGGACCACCTAGGAAAACTGTCGATGATTTGGAAAAATACAACAAATATGCTCTCAAGTTCTGTCAGAAGATCGCTAGGCATTACTCAAAACAGCTTTTTGCGATATATCAGAACAAGGAGGACCCCTACTTTCCCTGAATGGTAATGCTAACTCCAGATGGTGACCTTTGTGTGGCCGTTGTAATGTTTTGCATGCTCAAGCCTGTCCCTGTCATTTTTGTGTATATATACGTTCAGTTCTCGTTTCTTCTGATGCAGTTAGGGCATGCTAAAGTTAGTTTTGGGGGATGGCAACCATCCTATGTAAATCACTAGGATGCATGTTTCTAAGAAAAGTGGTTGTCTGATCTCTGATGCGGTTTCCGCTGTGGTACCAGTGCCTCTTTTGGAGATGCTGCTCAACTGCCGATTCACACACAAAACTGCATATTTATATTTATGTAAAGGTAGTACTTCTTAGTGCAAAACAGGAAAGCGAAAGCGAAAGCGAAAGGAAGAGCAACAACAATGACCCGAACTGAACTCGCAGGAGCATTGGTTAGTTTGCAAAATCCATGTTCACGTTGATTAGCGTCGGTGATGGTCCAACGGGAGTGAAAAGTTATTTACGAAGCTGATGGCGCTGGCTGGCGACCCTGCGGGCGATCCCGCGCGCGACTCCGCCGCGCCCTCGCCGGCGACTTCCCGCCTCGCCCCTCCCTCTCCCGTGGCC